ATAGTTTTGCGGAGTCCTCGTCAGATTTAATTACACGCCCTATTTTAGTGTCATCAGCAAATTTACTGATGTTGCTGAATATGCCTATATCTATGTCGTTTTTTATATAATAAATAGTCATGGTCCAAGTACTGAGCCTTGGGTACTCCACTCGTGACGTTACCCCAATCGGATTTAGTGCCGTTAATGTTTACTGGCTGTTTTTTGCTCTGTAACCACGCCCTAATCCATTTTAGAAAATCTCCAATTCCATAAGCCTACACTTTTCGTATTAGTCTTTCGCGGGAGACCTCTAAAGTCGAGATATACCATATCGTAATCGTGCCCGTCATCCACTGATTCGAAAACAGTTGAAAAGAATGTTAATAGATTAGTCAGACATGAACGCCCACTTGTGAGCCATGTTGGGAATCATTGATCAACTTTTGCTTATCCAGGTGAATTCGAATAGAGTATGAAATTATTGCTCCCAGCAATTTGCTTACAATTGATGCTAAACTGATTGGACGGTAGCTAGAGGTTAGTGATCTATCTCCCTTCTTGAAAATCGGTATCACATTCGCTATCCTTCAGGATTCTGGTACTACACCCGTTTTTAATGATATGTTAAACAAATTTGCAAAGGGCATACTAGACTTTTCTGACAAATATCTCACCGGGACCTAGTGATTTATTAGGCTTTAGCTTGTCTATTTGCTTACTAACATCGTTACTAGTCACTACCATCTCACTATTTATGTGTATAGTCGGTGCCTCGGGTATCATGTTTGAATTTTTGGTGGTGAAATTATTGAAAAATATATGTTTAGATTATTGCTCATGTCTCCGTAGTTATCCATTTGCTCTTTGGTATCTGACTGTATTGGTCCAATCTTGTCTCGTGTATTAGTTTGATACATTTGGAAGAATCCCATGGGGTTTAAATTCGCCTCCCTTGTTACCTTCAGTTCATTATTCCTCTTTCCCTTTCTTATCTCGGTCTTACCCTACAGGCCAATACCTTATAATAATCTCGGAGGTAAACTTCACCACGATTTATTCTCGTACCTATAGCCTTTCTTTGTTCAAAAATATTCTTTAAATAATTATTTATCCATTTGGGGTCATTGTTATTTGATCTGCATTTTCTGCATGGTCTGTTCTGCCTTTTTTGCATTAAGTAACTCATGATTTAAATAGTTGTGGAACTCGTCAACCTCAGATCTCGATATCAGGTCATCCTCAAACATTATTTTTGGTGAGGTTATCGTTGTCAGTTCACCAGGTAAAGAGAGGTCGCTCTCTGTGGGTACATTGTGTGAAGTCATGTAATTCACGCCCAAACGTAATACCCCCATTTTCTGATGCCATTTCAACCGATCAGCGTTTGACTTTCTGAAATCTAGGACTTTCATGGAATTTTCCTTAAATTGAATTTAATTGAATTGAAGCAGTTTATTTAGCCAGAAAAACACAGGTACAGTGTGGATAATAATAACAATATTAACATGGCTGAGCCAGTTGAGAACCTGAGCTCTCTTTTAGGCACCTAATATACTATACATTTATCTCAAGGAAGTATTATGTAACATTTAGTATCATCTGGAATAGTACAATAGCATGGTGGTAATAAGAACATCTCATAATGTTACCACCGTTATCACTTCAATATATACATAAATTACATTGGAATTGAAAAACATAAGTATAATGGGGAAGCAGTACAACATGGGTAATACAGTAATAAGGTTCAACAAGAGGACAGAGCTGTCAGGATTATGTCTAGTTGGCAATCATTTTATTGCAATGGTAATTACTTATCTATTTACATGATAATTTCCGATAAAACGGTTTTGATGGTACAATAAAAGCAGGTACTGTAAATATAGGTGTTAAAAGAAATATTAATACCTAGACATTTTCGCCCCCTAGGCCCTGATGTGGGTTAGTGACCTGTGCCCGGGTGGGCTAATCCCCGTAAAAAAAAATAAAAAGACAACAGATAGTTTATAAGAGATGATTTAAAGGAAGGGAGCATAGTCTTTGCTCGGATGGGTGGGGGTAAGTTCTTCCACATCTTCATGCCTTGATATTATATGGAGGTCTGGGACTGAGATGAGAGCATGGGGGGTGGTCTTAGTAGCTCTGGGTGCCTTAAGTTATATCTCTGATTATTCCGGAACTGGAAATAAATATTGTCAAGCAAGTGATTGTTAGATTTGTAAACAAAGAAGGCACAGCAGTAGGTGTTAGTATCTTCGAATTTTAAAAGTTTCAATATAGCAAATTTTTCGCTTGTGTGATTCTTTTTTCAAGTAGGTCATTGTCCGTACAACTCTCTTTTGTGCAGTAACCAGAGATTGTGTTTTTGAAGAGCCAGAGGGCCCCCATAGTGTGTGACAGTGTATCAGGTGTTGGTAAACAAGATCTTGATAAATTTCTTTCATTGCTGTGAGAGCGAGTGACTGTCGAGTGTGATATATGATACTGCACTGTTTATTGACTTTACTGTGAATGGCTTGTATGTGGTTTCTCCAGTTAAGTTTCTCATCAACAATAACTTCGAGGAATTTAGTATTTTGCTTGCGTTTAAGGACTGTATTTCCAAGGTACAGGGGGTCCAAGTCTGGGGGCAAGTTTTTCCTTCTGTAAAAGCTCGTGTAGTGGGTTTTCTCAAGATTTAAGGTCAGTTTATTACGTATTACCCAGGTTCTGAAAAAAGTTAATTCAGTGTTCATAGTTCTCATCAAGGAATGGAGTTCTGAGTTGCTGGCATAGAGATTACTATCGTCTGCAAATAAGTTGTATTTTATGAATGAACAGTACTGGACCGAGAATGGAACCTTGGGGGACTCCATATAAGATTGGCGAGGAGTCAGAATGGTGATTATTATAGCAGACATACTGCATCCTGTTGGACAGATATGAGGTAAACCAATTGTCGGACAGGCCCTTAATGCCGTAATGTTCAAGTTTTGAAAGGAGGATGGTATGGTCGACAGTATCGAAGGCTTTAGAGAGGTCCAAGAATATACCGACTGTGAACTGACTGTCATCAAAGGAATTTAAGATGTCATTAGTAAAGGATAGCAGAGCACTCTCAGTCGACCTTCTAGCTCTAAATCCAAACTGGGAGTCTGTAAAGATGTTATTGGCATTGCAGAATGAATTTAGTCTTTTACATGCTAGCTTTTCCAGTATCTTACTCAAGGCTGGGAGGACTGATATGGGGCGGTAATTCTTGAAGAGCCCTTTGTCCCCAGATTTTTTATATGCTGGGTGAACTTAAGCAATTTTCAGTTTATCAGGAAACACACCACTAGTGAAGGAGGAGTTACAAATGTGTAGATGAACAGGTGGCTACTTTCTTAATGATGCTCATTGGTATATTGTCTTCTCCTGCTGCTGCAACTTTGGACATTTTTATGATGGCCAGTAATTCATCTACTGTGACAGAGGATAAGAAGAGCTCATTTTGCTCTGTGTTTTGCAGGTAGGCTCTAAATTCCTGATGGTGATCAGGGATGCTCTCTGCAAGATTTTTGCCAACATAAATAAAATATTCATGGAATTGGTTGGCAATGGATCGGGTTCCGTTACAACTGAATCATTTATCATAAAAGCTGAGTGCGGGGCAGAAGGTTGAGTGTTCCTGCTCTGTATAGAATTTATGACATTCCAGGTTTTCTTACTGTCGCCTAATGCAAATTGGAGCTTATTTGTATAATAGTTACGTCTGGCATTTCTAACTGCTTTAGTTACTCTATTTCTGATATTTAGGTAAGCATCACCGAAAGTTATGGGTCTTTTTGCAAATTTCCTTTGGAGTTTGTGTTTTTCTTTTGTCATTATCATAATTTCGCTTGTGATATAGGGTTTGGAAACGGATACAGTTTTCACTGACTTAGTCTTGAGTAGGAAGCATTTATCAATTGCATTGAAGATGCAAGAGAAGTTGCAGCTGTTCACGTTAGCGCTGTCGGAGGCATAGACAAGATCCGAGTTAGCATTCATTAGGTTGTTTTCAAAAAGGAGCATGTTGTCGGTTCAGTAGTCTCTATATTGGATTCAGACTCTACTAGACCGTTCAGGTCTTGTGGCTGTTTTATACATGGCAAAAACTGGGAAGTGATCTGAGATATTGTTATAAATAATTCGACTTGCAAGATTGTTAGGAGTGTTGTTAGTCCAGATATGATCTATCACAGTGGCAGAGGTGGCAGTTACTCTAGTGGGTTTGGTTACAGTGTTGAAGAAGAGTTTAGAATGACATTAAGTTCTACTTTGAATCTCACTTCTTTGTGATCGCTGTTAGCTAGTTCGTTCCCTATGTCGACACTAGTAATGAGGTTTTCTCTTTTTGATAGAACTAAATTGAGTTTATTATTACCCCAGGTGGGTTCGTCTATATGTTACTTAGGAAACAGTCCTGAACTATTTCAAGAAAATCCTCGCATTCTGAGTTACCTGTAAGGTCGGTCCAATCTATTTGACTAAAGTTAAAGTCGCCTACTATACAGGCAATTCTATATCTGGATGCCCTGCACATTTCATCCTAAATAAGTTGCTATAAACTCAATCGAGATTAGGAGGTCTATATATTACTTATATGATTAATTTTTCCATACCATCGGTTAAATCTATCCAAATTGTTTCTGTAGTCAGTTCAGTTTTTATTTCCCTTTTGATTACACTTTTCAGATTATCCCTGACATAGATTGCGACCCCGCCTCCTTTCCTAATCTGCCTTTAATTTGGTATTCGACAGGTAACTCACATGAGTCTAAGTTCATCCACGTTTCGGTGAATGCTATTATATCGATTTTTTTGGTATATACCAACGCCATTTTGTTTATCATACTTCTACCGTTTGACTAGTAGACATTTAAGTTAGAAATGCCACCAAGTCAGTGACATCATCAGATCAGTAACAGGAAAAAGCAACAGCAACTTGTAAACTCAGTAACACCAGTAATTCAGTAACCACAGCGCGTGAGTGACTGTATCTTTCCTCTCCTCAGGTCCATTAATGGCTTCGGCGACGAGCTTTGCTGGGCGGCTCTATGGTTGGCTCGAGCCACAGGAGATCCCAGCTACATCGCCAAGGCTCGAGACCATTGGGACGAGTTTAACTTCTTAAAGAGTGTTCATGCCAACTTTTCCTGGAACGACAAGACACCTGGAATCCTTGTAAGTTAATTTGAAGGAAGATTTCCGACGTTTGTAAATATGTCCGACGGACATATTCACCGTGCTAAATTTGATAAGATGTTATGTGAAGTTTGAGACTTTTTAGGAATTTATGTACATTAATACTAATGGCAATCTTTCTTATCCCTGATACAGTCACTCTTCTGGATGTTGGACAACTCCAGTGAGTATCCTGACGCCCTCAGAAACTACCTGGTCTGGTTAAAGACCAGTGCATCATACACCCCGGAGGGTCTTGTTTTCTTGGGTGACCAGGGCTCCAACCGCTATGCTGCCAACGCCGCCTTCATCTCCCTCTTTGTTAGTTCCTTCCAGAAAAGGCTTTTAAAATATTGGAATCACTTAGACACAATATGAGTGATAAAATAGTGCATACACATCTTTAATTATAAAAATATAAACGAGAAAACGAACCTTTGCCTTGATCAATTGTTTGGAACATATCTTTCCAAAAATCGTGTGAGGAAACTCAGACAAGAGGTCTTCATGTCAAAATTTAACATGACTGAAAATGATAAAATAATTATTTTATCTTTCAGGTCGCCAAGAATGGTATGGACACTGAAGCTAACCAGAAGTGGGCGAGGGAACAGATCGGTCAACTGTTGGGAGACAACTCCCGTTACAGCAGGTCCTTCGTGGTGGGCTACGGCCAGAACCCCCCTAAGAGAGTCCATCACCGTGCCAGGTACACACACACACATCAATTGTTTGTGGTAGTTATACTGTACTGCACAGTATATATATATATATATATATATATATATATATATATATATATATATATATATATATATATATATATATATATATATATATATATATATATATATATATATATATATATATATAATCAACGACCTCACCATCAAGGAATCGAACCCTCGACCTACTGGGTGTGACTAGGGAACGCTTACCGGCTAGGCCACAAGCGTTCCCTAGTCACACCCAGTAGGTCGAGGGTTCGATTCCTTGCTGGTGAGGTCGTTGATTATATGTTCAAAGTCCGCGTGTTATATGGACTAAAAATGAAGTATATATATGTACCTCGCGTTTCATACCAGCTGGATTCGGTAAAATGCTACTGACACCACATAAGAGGCACGGGCAGTTTCCCAATGAGGTTCACGGCGCCATCAGCTCGATGAACAGGCTTTGTGTGAAATATAACAGAGTCTAGAACTGCTTTTAGTGTCCTTGTGGCCTAGCCGGTAAGCGTTCCCTAGTCACACCCAGTAGGTCGAGGGTTCGATTCCTTGCTGGTGAGGTCGTTGATTATATGTTCAAAGTCCGCGTGTTATATGGACTTATATATATATATATATATATGTATATATATATATATATATATATATATATATATATATATATATATATATATATATATATATATATATATATATATATATATATATATATATATATATATATATATATATATATATAGTATATACTGATACCCACATAGGAAACAAGAAAACACGAAGTTCCCAAGCGCTTTCGTGTAATTCACATCTTCATGAGTACAGACTAAGGAGTAATTATTGACAAGTCTAATATATACAGTAAAGGAGAGTTAGATCAAATCCCTAGGGACAGCAGGTGCCCACCACATTCAGATCATAAAATTCTTCTTAATCACAAAGTTGTCCAGTTTGTACATGCCATTACTCAAATTCATGTTGACAGATTCGGTATGTTTAATGAGACTACATTCTATAATGTTCCTTTTCGATGGTTACATACCTTTGTTCTCGATCCAGCATTACACGACTAGCATAAGATACTGGTCTGAGGATATCATCAACTTCTTGCAGCAGGACTGCACCCAATCCAGTATCTAAATGCTTCTGTTCTTAAATAAAACAGTTTAGAATAATCAGGAAAACATAATATTGATTCACAAGCTAGATCTGATATTAGTTTCTGAAAACTTTCTAGTTGTTCATCTGACCAAATCAATTTGTTACTGCTGAATTTATTTGATAGAACATTAATGCAAGATACAATTCCAGCAGAATTTGAAACAAGTCTCCGATAAAAAGATACTGTAACTATAAATGACCGTAATTGTTTCTTTGTCTGAGGTACAGGCATTTGCAAAATGGGTTTTACTTTATCTTCTACAGGTAAAAGCAGATTACTTCCCAAGGAAAATCCCAAATATTTGATAGGTGGATATGCAAGGAAATACTTACTGGGACCAGCTGCAAGTCCATGGGCTCACAAAGTGTCATACAAGGATTATAGATCTTTCAGATGTTCTTCCCAGGTACTGTTATGTACAACCAAGTTATAAAAGTCACAAACTTTTTTTTTAAGGTTAAAGGTCACCTTTCTCATCAATCTAATAAATGTAGCACAAGCAATTTTCAAACCAAATGGTAACATTCTGAATTGCATTAATCCTCTATTGCTTGCAAAGGCTGTGATTTTCTTTGGTAATATCCCTTACACAGATCGATCTCAGTGAAAAACTCATCCCCAACAAACTCTCCCAGGGACTCATCAACTGCTGGCATAGGCTCAGCATCAAAATAGCTTACATCATTAACGCTACGATAATCAATGTACAATCTCAATGAATTGTCAGGCTTCCTTACAAAAATAACAGGTGAACAACAATATGCAGAGTCAGAATGATCAATAATTCCCATGTCAAACAATTTATCAACTTCATCGTTAAACACCTGAACCGAATTATGAGGTATTGGATATGTTTTCTTGTAAACTGGGATATCTGTAGTTAATTTGATGTCATGGTAAATACTTTCTGTTTTACCTGGTTTACAAGAAAACACACCTGAATATCCTAAAATAAGGGAATCAATCTCTTCCTTTTGTTCACATGATAATGTGCTATTGATGCCAACCTTAGAGCTTGTATCAGAGGAATCGTAAACAATATTATCACAATTAGAACCTGGATCTTCCTGATTTAAATCAATGATGCATACATTACACTGAAAAGAGTCAGGGTTAGATGGATCTCTTTTAATGTATTTATTTAGCAAGTTGACTTGAAAAAAGTTTTATCTTTTCTCGAACTTTGACGTAAGAGTCTACACCATTAAAATGAGTTCCAATGACACAATATGGACCTTTCCAAGTCATATTCAGCTTCTTAGAAGAAGTTGGTAGTAATAATAACACCTCATCACCAATTTCCAATTTCCGAGTTTTAGCTTTCTTGTCAAAATAGGTTTTGTATTGAGAACAACTAATATTAGAATTTTTGAGAGCAAGTTCAGCAGAAGCTTCTAATCGAGATCGTAATTCCAAAACATATGATGAGTCTCACGTAAATCTTCATCTTGGTCTTCCTTCGTCCATAGTTCGTACAGAATATGCAAAGGACCTCTCACTTGTCGACCATACAGAAGTTCGATAGGTGAAAATTTTAGCATGTCATGAGGAATTTCCCTATAAGCAAAGAGAACAGAAGGGATATATGTATCCCAGTCTCGAGGTCGATCAATACATAGGCGTTGTAACATTGATTTAAAAACATTATGAAATCTTCTACTGTACCGTTACAAGCTGGATGGTAAGGACTTGTGTGAAAAGCTTTAATAGATAATAATCTATTTATTTCAGTCATCAATTCTGACCTAACTGGGGACCTCTATCGGACAATATCTAATAGATAAACCAACACGTGAGAAAATAGTAAGACGATTTTCAGCCACAGTTATAGTATCAATGTTTTTTCATGGCACAGCTTCCGTAAGCGAGTTGCATAATCAATAAGGGTGAGAATGTATTTGTGACCATTTAAAGATGATGGGGTAATGGGGCCAACTGTATCTATAGCTACTTTAGCAAAAGGGGTTTCAGTGTGAGGCATAGGAATTAAGAGACTTGCTTTACTTTTCCTTTAGGAGTTGTTTTCTGGCAAGTAGGACAAGACTGACAGTAACGTTTTATTTCAGAAGTTTTATCAGGCCAATAAAATTTATTCAAGATCTTGCTTGCAGTTTTTGTATGTGAAAAATGACCCACAAAGGTGGACTCATGAGCTGTGAACAATACTTGCTTTCTGAATTTCTCAGGCACAAATAATTGCTTACTCCCAACTTCCTCTTCGACTTTACTTGAGATACAAATCCTGTACATGAGACCATTTAATCGAGAAAACTTAACTGATCTATTCTTTACTGGCTGGGGTGTATCTGCTTCAACGTTATTCCTGACAATATCAAGAATAGGACAGTTATTTTGGGCTTCAATGAAATCCTCTTTACTACTAGGAAATGTACAATAGGTATTACAGGAGTCAACAGTTTTTGCAGTTCCTTTTTGAGATTGTTTATTTGTAACACCAGATAAGAATGCCACTTATTTGCTAAAAACACTATATACATATATATTAATAATTAATCGTACTCACAGTGGCGAGGCAGGTCACGGCCTCTCACAACAGCTCGTGTAAAATGAATCTTTACTTTCGAAACATGCGAACAACACTTTGTGTAAAATGAATCATTAGTTTCCAACACCTGAGTTTCGAACTCAAGCAAGATGCGAAATAAGACAGGGTAATTCATTCACAGGGGAGTTCTTAATTAACATTTGTTTTACAGTACTCGAGGAACTAAATGTTACATTTATGCTCCAGGTTTTCAGTTGTAGAGGAATTGGCGAGGAATGTAATATGTTCTACTAAGCCCAGACAGGTAAAGATCTTATAACTAGACTTAAACAGCATAAATATAGTGTTAGGACAGGCTTGGAATCCAATGCTCTGTTCATTCATATGAGAGATAAAAAGCATTGCATTGACTGGGAAAATGCCTCCTAAATATTATCTTGCAATTCAATTGTCAGTAGTATCATTATAGAATGTAGTCCCATTAAACATACCGAATCTGTCAACATGAATTTGAGTAATGGCATGTACAAACTAGACAATTTTGTGATTAAGAAGATTGGTAACCAGGTGAGGAGGTTGGGTCACTTTACCTTATGACCTGAATAAATTGGACACTGCTGTCCCCTGGGATTTGATCTCGCTCTCCTTTACTGTATACATAAGCTTTGTCAATAATTACTCCTTAGTCTTTACTCACCCCCTGAAGATGTGAATTACACGAAAGCGCTTGGGAACTTCGTGTTTTCTTCTTTCCTTGTGGTTGTCAGCATATATATATATATATATATATATATATATATATATATATATATATATATATATATATATATATATATATATATATATATATATATATATATATATATATATATATATATATATATATATATATATATATATATATATATATATATATATATATATATATATATATATATATATATATATATATAATATTCAGACCTAATTTATTGAAAATAACTGCAAACATTCATTGTCCATTGCACAAAAACTTGGGTACTCTTCATTGTTTGTTGATCGTTGTTTTAAAAGGGCTAAACAATCCTTTTATTCTACTCAAACTAGACAAGTTCCTACATTTAAGAATATTTTGACTCTACCTTATCGCAATGAATTTGACCCGTTAGTTCAGTCCCTTAAATTATTAAACATTAATGTTGTTTTTAAGTATAACACAACTATTACTAATATATTAATTAAGAATCGCCCGACTTTGAATGTAAATGTAAGTGTTTACTGTATTTCATGTAGCAATTGTAATATAAATTATGTAGGTCAGACTGGGAAAGCATTGAAACTCAGAATTAAACAGCACAAGTACAATATTAGAACGGCATTCGAAAGCAGTGCACTTTTCGTTCATATAAGGAACAATAAACATCCCATAGATTAGGAACACAGATTAGAAGTGTAGAAATCATCATGTTTCACAGAAAGAAGCAAGTTTGATTAGAGGAATGAATTCATTGAACTCAGCAAACCGATAATGTGTTACACAATTTATTTGTCAGTGGCCTAGGGTTAAAAAATGCTTTGAAAGCATTTAAGGTAGATGTAGGATAGATGATTAGGTGTCATATTTTTACCTGACTTGACATGACTAGTTATGTCCCCGGTCACAGTCATGGGCCTGTGGGCCGGGTTCGAATCCTGGTGGGTTGAGGTGTTGATTGTATGTAGAAGTCCGCATGCTTTATTGGGCTAATGAAATATATATGGATCCTCGTGTTTCGAAGCCGGATTTGGTAAAACGTTACTCTGACCACCTACGTGATACGGGTAGTCCCCATTAGAGGTTCACGGCGCCATAAGCTCGTTTGAACAGGCTTTGTGTGAACAAAGTTCAGAATTGCTTTGTGTGTTCTCAGAGTGGCATGGTGGTAGCATTTCGGCTTCACTTACAAGATTGTGGCTCGAGTTTTGCGGGGAGTTGCTTACTGTATATCGAATTTTATACATCACACTCAATTTCTTATTATGCCTATTTTGAGTTTTTGTTTTCACATCACCGGTCATTATTTATGATGGTTGGTTACGTTTAATCCCACTTTATATGAGTATGGGCTTCATCTGAGTCACGAATCAATATTTACCTCTTCAGCTCTTTGCCTGAACCCCCAGCAGACTGTTCAGGAGCTCTGACAATCCCGGCCCCAACTCCCCACGTCCTTTCGGAAGCTTCCGCCGCTGACCGCCGAGGTTAAGTACCAGCAGGTCATATAAATATGATTAAACTGAGTTGACAACAAGTCATGTCTTCAAGCATCTCAGCATGGGATGTTTTGTAATTCTCATTTTTTTTTTTAGCTTCCACCACCATTGCAACATGGTCGCCCTCCCCATACACAATTTTCCCTAAATTAAGTTTGGCTTTCTTCTACCTAGAACGGTGACTACACAGACGACCGCAAGGATATAACTCACAATGGTGTGTCCTGGCACCTACAACGCTGCCTTCACTGGGGCTCTCGCCGCACTTGTCGAGATTAGTTAAACGTCCTGACTTGTCCCCAGACATCATCGCAGAACTGCTTCATACCGCTTAAATTTGTAGACAGTTTTCTCCATTCTGCGTGTTTCCAATCAGGCTTGGACACATTGTCTGCATTCTTGATGTATGAGTAATGTCATAGGTAGAAATATGTCTTTTAATATAAGCTTCAATTTTGTGTCCCTCCCTTATAAACCCACTCAGGCCAGCTGTTTTTGGTCTTAGACATATTCATCACAAAATGAAATTATTATATTTAATGAGAAGATATAAACATTGTTGATTAC